AGCATGAATTAATCAGATTTTTGTTGAAAGTCTAAAACGTGTTAATTCGTGGAGAATAAAGTTGCAACAAAAGTTCTTCCTCTTAATTTCTTCAACTTTTACCTGCACCTAATACTTATATACTAAAATAGAGGAGAAAAATAATGTTTGTATTAGACCATGGATGAACACATACATGGGGTTATTTAATACAATTCGGATCAGAAAGCACAACCTTAAGTTTAACTGAATTGGGCCGAGTTGCTTTTATGATCAAACTGTGCTCCCAGAATCAATCTTTAGAAGTGCTTATAATTCATATGGAACACGATAAATAACAAATAAAGATGATGACTGGCTCTGAATTCAACAGTTTTAAAGTTTTAATTTATAGCCAACCACTTTGGCAGAAACTGGACATTTCTACCATTTATGTGTTACTTTTAGCTTTTTCTCTCTTTTGTTGTTGACCTTTTTGCTGCTTGCCTGCAAGCCAGTTTTCACACTCTCTCAATTTCATAACAAACTGTTCAGGTGTTAGACTCAATAAGTGGTTTTATTTTTTTCTAGTGAAAATGTATTTTATGACTTACTCAAACTAGTTCGATATCGTTCCATGTACACCCTGGCAACTGTTGAAGTACCCCATCGGGTAAAATCACTACTCCACGGTTTAATGTCTCATTAAATGTGTATACACTTCTTATATTTTAAAATATAAATTCAGCATTTTTTTTGCATCTTACTAGTTTTTATATTGGCGGTTGTTTACTTTGATGTATTCCCACACTGTCATTTTAATATACACTTAGAACTCCCTACAGAATCAATGCCTGCATTTAGAAATATTAAATGATTAGATATTATTTTTAATATGTATAGTTTATAGTTATATAGTTTATAGTTATAGTTATATTCACAAGTAAATGGAAAACCTAATTCCAGTCGTGATGAAAACTAATCAGATTTACAGAGCATCAGTGCCAACTCTTCTTCACAAACTGCTGACTCCGTGGCTTGGCTTTGCCTCGGGACTGAACAGTTCAGGAATCATAAAGTTTTCTTTTCGCATCACTGCTCTGTCTTTTCCTCGCTTGACCCATCTATAACAGCTCCTGCTCCACAAGTGGATGTGTTCCAAATTTAAATGCAACATGTTCTTCAACTCGGTGTCTGTGTCTCTTCATATCTGAGGATGATATATTGCAGACTCTGTTTTTTATTGTGGTGATGTTTAAAGATTATATCCGGACCAAATCACATATGGCAGAACGATGCTGCTGCACTGACTGATGACTGCGCAGCTTAAATGCTGTTTTATGTCTTTCTACACCCCGTGATGTCACAGTGGGCATTTTAAAGCAGACGACAAAATACAGTTTGTAAAAGTTAAGCCAAAATGTGAGTGCTTTAAACTTCCCTCCTCTCTAACAGCTAGCTCTTTACTAGTTGCTAAAATAAGTCTAAGAAAAAATGACCATACTTCTAAGTTAATTTATTACATATTAGACATATATTAGACATTTAATTATTGAGTTAATGGTCTCAATAGCTAGTTTCAAGCCATCTTTAGTACAGCGTTGTGTTCATTTTGTAAATTATCTTCCAATTTAGAGTAAACAAAGACAATGTCCTTGAATCGTTTTAGACCTGTGACCCACTCACAGTGTCGTTTCAGTTCAAAAAAGTAAATTGTAACATTTTAATTGGCTTAAAATGTCTTGCTCATTTGGTTATACTAAACTCACCTCTTGAGTAATTGTACAAAATAGCATCAACTAAATTGAGATTTTCAAAATGTTTTTCAACATTTTCAAAACATTTTCAAATGACTCGTGGTGACTACATCCAATACTATTCTTCTGTATGCTTGTACAAAATGCCAGATAGTAAATAAGTAAAATATAAAAATAATTACATAAAAGAGGACAATTAAACACCTAAAAAGAGATGAATGAACTTCATAAAAATCCAATTAAAAAAGTTAAAAAGGATAAATGCTTCTTCTTTACGTCCACTTCCGTGTGTCAAAAGCGAAACACCAGCTGTGACATCAGTGACAGGGATGTGAATAGAGCCTTTGAGTAGAGCCTTTGTTAACCTTTCATCCTATAGAGAGCAGTGCAGCAGCAGGAATCTCTCCTATTTTCCATTCAGTGTGGAGTTGCTCTTCAAAGTGTCGAATATTGCAGCAGCTTTTTCTATATTCCCTCATTTCCCTCTCCTTAGATCTATCCCTATTTCTGATTTGTATGTGTGCGCGTCTGTATTTGGTAGAGTCTGTACGCCTCCTGTGAAAGTGTGTCTGTTTGTCGAGGGGGGGACCTTCTCCAGGTGTGGTATGTGATAAGAGAATAGATGTAAATGTATACAGATCACATTCACAAGCCGTGTTGCCGCAACAGTAAACAAACCATGAGCTTAGAATTAAAACAGCCTGTCTGCCTACAGAGTATTCAGGCAGCTTTAAAGTCTTCAGCGTCAATTGATGAAAATAGAGATGGGTCTCTCTCAAACATATTTTTGATTTAACAAAACTTGCTTAATTGATGCTCTTGACTGTGATTATACAACTAAATTAGGAATTTGGAATTTGGAAAAGGACATCTGTAAATACGAGGCTGTATTATTCAGGGCACTGGCCACAGAAAATGTGCTGGATAGATACCGCATGGTGGGAAGAGTCTTTTGTGGAATTTGGGAGGGTTTGAGGGCATTTTCTGCCTTTGTTCTGAGGCACCGGTTACCCTTGCCTTGTCCTCATTTTACCGCACTCAATTTCAAATATGGCGAACAGGAAAAGGTGAGTGGGAATCAAACAGGCCTGTAATCTTTAAACTGAATAAAGGGATCAAATGAAGCAGTATTTCTGCCCACTCAGTCATATCAGAAACGGACTTTGCTGCTATAGTGTACTGCCATGTGGTAAATACTTTTTGCATATCATGTATTTATTTGTTGCTATGTTTATAAATGTCATGTTCTTATGTTGTATGTCAGGGACTACGGATGGAAATGAGCTCAAAGCTCAAATCCGGCATATTTACACTTGAAGCATTATATGTCTTAAGTGTTCATTATTGTGCATTGTCCCTATTCAAATAAACTATTAAATGAAACGATTAAATGACAACACACTGAACATTGACCCAGACTGTCTGTGCTGTTTGGTTTAGGACAAGCACACATTTCAATGAATGCATTCTATGAGAGCCAAACACCGATGACAATACTTGTAAGTCAGTATAAGGGTTGTTAAAACTGCTTTAAATTCTCCTTTTGTATTAATTTACATGATTAAAAAGAGATACTCAAGGCATAAAACATTGTTTTTGTTCATGCACTGGTCAATGTTGACAGTTTGGGCATTTTGCAACCATAACATGTTCCAAATATCCCATATACTCTAGTCTAGACATTTGTAAACATCACATTTTAGAAAAATGCCAAAATACACTGGGAAAGTTTCATCCTGGTTATTTTACCCAATTTTTCTGTAGTGTTTTGCAAAATGTATTGAATTTCACAATACACATATCAGAAGGCTGTTTTTTCAAAAATAATTGCTCAGTTGTTTATTCCTCAAACATGACAAAAATTGCCTGCTAACAATATTTTCAGATTTATGAAGTGATACAGAGATATATCCATAATCCCCTGTAGCAAAACCTTTGACTTATATTTCAACAACTAATGCATTAACATAATATTAATAAGCAAACATCTATGAAAGCAAATGTATTCAGAAGACAAATATTGTCAAATGTTGTTCGAGAGCAACAAAAAGCCTTATAACATGTAAACAAATCAAAATGATCTTGCTGCAAATAATTTGTTGTAACATTGACTTGCTTTATGGTTTTGACCCAATAATAGTTTTCTAGTATAGTATTTGTATACTAATACAACTTTGTTCCTCTCACATTGTGTTCTTCTCTCTTTCTAGGCGACTCATGAGCCACCTGTAAAATACACTTAAATCGTTATTAGTATGGCTGCAGAAGAGCAACATAGCAGTGGCAGTGCGTGGGCGGGAGCTCTAATGTGATTGGCTGAGGGACACTGTAAGCCTGAGTGGCAGCTCTTAATGGGAGCCCTGGAGAGGTAACCCAACAGCTGTGTGTTTGCAGTTAATGAGAGATGGGGGAGGAGTAAAGGATCACAGACTGGAAACACTGTGATAAACTCTTGCCTCAGAATGGCTGGGGAAGATAGGAAATCAAGTTTTCTCCGGAGGGGACGTTGCTCAAGGCTTTCCTTTGTTACAAAACCCGCGTTTATCATTGCCCCTGGTCCATTGCTTGTGTTTTAAGCAGTTATGATCACTGGCATCATCGTTGTGGAAGAAAGGAAGAGAATAACTGTGGCGTGGGATGTGTTTGCTCCCTGCTGAGCCATGCTGATTTATAGCCCACAGCAAAAACATTGTTTTTTTGTAATTACACTGTTGCAGTTTTTAAACAGATGATGTTAGTTAATCCAAATGTACACCAACAGCATTTCCATTGTCTCCAATCGCAGAAAAAAGGAAGAAGCAACAATAGGCCTATAATGTGCTTTCTTCAGACTTCAATGTTATCATTCAATTTCCCTCCTAATTCCCTCAGCTAAACAGTGTTATTTCCCCTCCTTATTATAACCGCCTGAGGGTGGCGCCAAATGAATAAATAGTGGCCGCACCAGCTTCCATTTTAGGGCCATTCATTTTGCTACATGGAATGCATATCAACAAGTAAACTGTCAGTGCTACCTGTTACATCACGTTTGGACACCTTTGTGTATTTTTTGTAGCAGGGGTTGGTGTTTGCAGCAGCAGTTAACACATGCACACAGACTGCAGGAATATTCTCCAAGGTTGCATTGAATTCGCCCCATTTGAGGTGACCCAGTTTGATGAGATCTTAAACTGTTGGAAATCACACAATTTCCTGGTAGGCAGCCCGGGCATAATGTGATGTTGAGTGTGAAGTTGCTGTGTGCTGCGGTGGATGAGAGCCCCACCTCCTCCCACGCTCTGATGAGTAGGAAGAGAGATAGGGAGAGAGGGGAGAAACTAACGGAGCCACAGCATCTCCACACTTGCTCTCTGGAAATGCTTCAGATTGGCTTCTTGTTTTAGGGTTGGTAAGCTTATTGCGTTGCACAAGAAAAGAAATACAAATAACAGTCGTTCAGACATACAGTGCGTCCTTAGTTCTCACATCAGAGGAAGCGCTCTGGAAACTTGGAGCAAAGCGATGCGCCACCGGGTGCGTATCTTGGAAGGAATCAGTTCTTAAGGATTGGGAAATAGCACACAGCTGGCTATCCCTGTGGAATGATTGACCCCGCGTTTTCCAGCTCTATCTTAATTATACAAAATATATCGATCAGCTCGTAACTTCTAATATTTTCCACGGACAGAATTCTACCGGGACGACACGGAATCCGGTAATTTTTTTGGAAGTTGCAAATTGCTGTGAGTGGATTTTGATACTGCTGAAGTTAGTCTGATGTGACGGAGGTTTGAGGGTAAGACACCTGCCTCTGGGATCACCGGCGGACACTTCAACTGCGGACAGATCGGCGACGCGCTCATAGAGAAGTCTCTGGCTCAGGTAATGACTGCGAATTCACGGAGAAAGTTGTCGCGATTAGTGGATTTTGTGTAGAATTTTGGCACCAGGGAAGTTTCCTTCTGAAAAGACTCCTAATACAACGCAGCCCATTATGCCAAACGGACTGTTTTTTTCCTACAACAAGTTGTCACAGGCAAGCTCTGTGTTACAGGTTGATGGACAGATATATGTCAGCCACAGTAACGATGCGTGACTAAAAACGCATATAAATCGAGTAGTTCTAGCCTCCTTGCGTAATGGCATTAAGTCATTATCATATATCATTGCACTTCACCCACGCTTTAATATGATGTGTGCTGGCGATCGTCTAATTGCATCTCATATCTTGATTCCTTGAAAAATCTGATCCATTCGCATCATTCCTTCTTCGCAAACATCACTAATTATCTTCTTTATTTAGAGTATTTTGTTTTCCATTCTGACGCACAGGCAACTAATCGCCTGCATTTTCTGTATGGAGACACTCGCGCATATAATTGAAGTGGGGGGTGAAAAAAGAAATCTTTGATCAGCACATCCACACGGGTAATCTCTCTCTCTTTCCAACCCCCCCCCCCACATCCGCTGAGAGTATGGGGTGTTGTTTCTCGCCACTCCATCGACCACCAGGCACATTTGTAATAGTCTGCTCCGCGTACTGATGTCGGTCTAAGTTCCCCCACACACTGGAGGCTAAGGTGCCGGTAAAACAGAGCATCAACACAGACCAATTACCCAATTTTGCCCCGTATCTTACAGCCTGCCTATGAGACATAAAACTGATGAATGTGAGGGTGGAAGTCGGTCGATTATGAAGCAGTCGTTGGAGATGGGAGTTTGGGAAAAGACAGACTTAATTGTTAGTTCTGCCAATAATTCTTACGGACAAGTAGCCTTCTATCTATCTAAAAAAGTGCAAGATGATGCCTTTAAATGTCCTGTTGTGGAACCAAAAGATAATCATTTTAATATGATATAAAACAGAGCAATTCAGAAACATCCATATGTGAGAGGCAGAAACCAGCATTTTCTGCAATTTTTCATGAAACATATCTTATCTATCTATCTAACTATCTATGGCTGTCAGTTCCATTTCCTCTATTTTCCCCCTTTTTCTAATTTGGTTTCCCTTGCTGATCAATGGTGATGATCAATGGTGAACTTTACACATGTCCTTTCCTCTAGTAAAGGAACATGGTTCAATTACATGCATTGTGTCATGTAAGCCCATCTGTTTGGTAAACAATTCATCGAAAGGTCACCAGCAGGGTTTTCTGACATGACTGATCAAACTGTTATTTGAACTTGAGAGTGTAGACCTGTTACAAATCATTCAAAAGCAGAGACTTACTGAATCAGGTTATAATGAAATACACAGTCTGAAAAGGAATACAACATATAGGACCTATGATTATACATCTATAGTTGTAACAATAAGACAATAGTTGATCAGTGGGCATTTAAATGAAAAGTCGTTACTACATATTTCATTAACATGGCAGAAAACAACTGGTTACAGCCTGTCTAATGTGGATATTTTTGAATTTCTCTATCTACCAAACTGATTATCTTCTGGTTCCACAACAAGACATGTAAATCAACTTGGACTTGCACTTTCTGACATGTATATATTAATCTAGAAAATAATGAGTCTGCAGTAAGTTGAGTCAACTGTTGCAGGTCTATACATTTCCCTCTTGTGTCGTAATGTCTGAATGCAACCTCCTTGATCTAAGTGCATTTAATGGCATTCTTTGTGGAGCAGCCAACATGAATAGCTAAATGCTCCTGCCCTTAGCAGGTGTTTCCACCCAAAGGCTATTCCTTTCTCATTACCAACAGCCAGGGTTTACTGTCTCTAGGAGTGCACAGTGTAACATTTTGCAGTAAATTATTTTGGAAGATCAGCTGAAAGGGGACCTAAGCTGTGATACTAGCCATCATAAATCATGCTGGTGGGAGGGTAATGGGTTTTACCTGTTATACTAGCTAAAGGCGCAGAGTCAGCCAATACATCAAATCACCTCAGTTGAGAAAATCATTAAATCATCCGTTATCTTTTCGCACACTACCACAGCTTGGAAGAGCAGATCTTACAGACATGCATGAGCTTGATCTGTGACCAAGTAACAGGTGACGGTTCAGATTCTACAGAGGAACACAAAGCCGTTGCCGTACTCTAATCATTTTCTTTGACATTATTATTAATTTGCAATTATACCTCAGTTGATTCTCCGCGTGAGTCATTTCCGATGTACCTGTGGAGCGGCCAACTTAAAGAGCAAGTGTCACCCAGTCAGTCACTGAGTTGACTCAATCAGTAGATAGTCTGTCTCTATGGTAACCAGGATGGGCGCACATGCTCTGCAACACAATTATACCGTTCATTCTTTTTACATACCTTAAATTATGACAGTATAATGACATGTATGCAGTCACACACAAATATTGAGTTACTTATTATGTGACTATTCTAAATATCTGATGGATCTTATTATCATTATTTTATCCCCTTCAGCACCTAAACATATGGATTGCAAATCATTTAGCTTTACAAAACAATTGTGAAATGCTCATAAAATAAATATACAATGTTGTGGCAGTAAAATAACTGTATAAATACAGGATGCTTGCCAACATAACATTAGACACACAACATTACTTTTAAATAAATAATCAGTTTTCAACTTTTCATAACTGAGCAAATATCATGTTAAAATTGCGCTTTGATTTTTTGGAGTGCCTGCATCCAAGAATGTAGCCAAGGAATATAAAACAAACTGCATATTTGTTTGTAGCTGTAAATATGTTGGTAAAGGTGGAAAAAGCTCTGTTAGGATTAGGGTTAGTTTCAGAACTTCTGAATAATTGGGATGTTGCAATATACCTTTATTATTATAATATTATTACAAACATTACATTATGATATCATTTAAATAATAAACATGATAATATCATGTAAATAATCAAGATACAAAATGAAAAAGCGCATAATAAACCAAGATTAAGATGAATTTGACTGAGCTGAGTATTTTTACATATCACGGTAATATTGTCACCATGAATTCTATTAGACTCGATAAGGGTGTAGTATAAATCTGTAATTTGTTCTGGTTTTAATGGAAAACCCGGCAAGTAAACATATTGTTTTCCCTTAAATAAAACAGTTGAACGCAGTTGATGTCAATCACATCACTATATTTCAGTGAAATTTGACAGTGACAGCAATCTTCCAGGCACAGTATGCGGGAGTGGGAATAATTTCCCCCGCTCTCTTATAGCCGTGCTTATCTATAGAGGTCGATGGCAGGTGAAGGGGTATGCTCGGGTACATTTCTCCTGCAGGTTGTAAGTCTGTAGGCTGATGGCCATGCTGAGAAGGAGCAATGACCCACAGACTCTCTGGTCTAGTCTTGCATTAGACCTGTGTCCCCAGATGGTCTTTATAGGCTTGGTTTTGGCAAGGGAAGAGTTCTTTCCGCGTGGCGGCCGTAGGGGTCGCAAACTTCATTGTTGAGTAGTTTCGCTTTGACTGCATTCTTTGTTTCAAAGTTTTCAGAGAAGATACAGCAAATGGAGGACCCATCAGACAGTTTGAGTCTTTGAAAGTCCACCTCCATACTGTGGTACAGGCTGCCTTTAGTTTTCCTCTAGGTTGGAACCATCTGGACCATTGCATGATCACAGCGTGAGGCAATGTGTGAATGCTGCTTCACTGGTAGAGTTAAAGTGTTCTCCTCAGTACGAGTGGATGCGTTGATTTTATTTCGATCGAATTTTCCTCAGAATATCTGTTGCTCTTTTCTGTGCAGCTCAGTGTGTTTGTGCAGGATGTTTTTTGCAGTGCACAGAGCTTATAGGAATTACAGTATGAGCCCTTTAGGCCGTACAGAGCCCTAATAGCTCTGCGTAAAGGAAGTACAGTGTGCTGCACTCATTCAACTAGTAGCACAGCAGGGGTCATCCTAGAATTAGCCAAGTCGATTGTCCCGTGGTGTAGCTACCACAAAGTACATTAGCTGGAAGTTTTTGTTATAATTATATTGTGTTTATTATTTATAATTCAGTTTACGAACAGAGAAGTTTCAAGTCAGCAGAGTACGTTTATAATAGACAAGGGGATTTTACTTAGCAATTCCTGAGGATTTCAGTGTTGAGATGCCTGATCCAGTGCAAGTATCTGCACCACACTGGTATTCTAAAGCCCCTTTCCCATTAGATAACAAAACTCTCTAACACCCACTAACATCTGTTCAGTGGGAAAGGTTGTAATCGACATCCTATTCCAGTAGTCACTGGTATGTATCGGCTCTAGCTACAATCGACAGTGATGGATTTTCACACTTGTTCCCGCTCAATGCAATAATGCACTTTTAAAACAATATATAATAGAACAAACTTAAGGCAATCCTTATAATATAGATGCATACAAAAACTACAGAAAGCATACTTTCCTGAAAGCCACCAGAAACCATTGTTGGAAACAGTATTTTTAACACGCTGTTTATCGTAAAACGCACTTTCAACAATATATACTGTAACTCATGAACTAATCTAAACGTTCATTGTTAGTCTTACAGCTGTTAAGGAAAAGCTAAGAGAATGTTGCAACTGGCATACTCATCTACTGGCAATGGGAAAGGAGTTTACTGCCTAATTTAAGTGGGTTTTCAATGTTTATTCACACATTTTGGTCGAAAAGGAGTATAGTTGTACAGTTAAGTCCATACAAAAGGAGTGCTTGGAGTGGTTAAGCAGAACTGATATCAAAGACACATTGAACACACTGGGAAAGCTAACTTCTTCTAATTTTATGCTGAGTTATGTTTTGTGATTTGCCTGAATCAGCTAGTAGTCTTGTGGGTCTACCACACCATCTGGGATGGCAGATGATAACCAAGTTTTTTAGAGGATAAAACGCTGAGATGCAGAAAATGACATTCCTTGTTGTATTCAGCTGCTTTCATTCATCCATTTTGCTGCTCAGGTAGGGGACTCTTGCAAGACTTGCAGTAGTCAATGTTGAGAAATCTCAGCACATCATATGTTCCCCTTCGCCACCGCTATGCTTTGAGATGAAGGAAAACATGCTGTCAAGCTTTTGATAAAATATTTGTGAGATAGAAGCCCATGTGCACGGTGTCAGTAATATTCACCCGATAAGAGATGCTCACTGGGTGATTGCAAAATGCGTATTTCACAGATAACATTCATTTTAATGTCAATGTAAACAAAGAAAAAAGAACACCAATTCACCGTGGCTGCCAGGCACAGTGCCATCTGGAAGACAGGCATGAGGCCAACTGGAAGACATTAAGTCATGAGTGTCATCAACCATAACAATCATGTCACTATCAAAGTGCGCCTATTCATTCTAGAAGTGGCTGTAATGGTAGGGGGACAGTTACAGCAAAACAAATGTTACAACCTTTATTACGGTTTTCATATTGAAATGGTCATTTTATGGGTAAAACATTTTGCAATCTTGAAATCAGTATACAAAAAGAGACAGGGAAAATATATCACAAGTGATCATTGTCCAATGTTAACTTTCAGTTTTTTAGTAGCACTTGGATGTATCCCCTGATTATGTTTTTACTCCTGCCTGCCTTTTTTTCCCATCTACACTTGAACACACAGAATGCACACTCACCGTTCACGGCACATTGACTCGAGACTCCCCCTGCAAATGTAAAAAGGGACACATCGATAACCGGGCAATTAGTGCATCAATAACCTGCACTTCCAATTTTAATGTATTCAAAAGGAATTGGATTTCTCATTGGTTTTCTGTATATTTGTTTTCTGCTGTCTCGCTTAGTACACATTTGCTTTGCTCCTCTCTGCAACAGTGTTTCATGTGAGGAGATGCAGAATGTATTTGAGCTCACAATAACACCATCTGACCATGTGCATCTCTGTCTTTCTCACAAGCACACAAACTAAGGCTGCACTGATCTTCGCTTATCTTTCCCAAAGGGTCCCTCAGGGAACTGGCTGATATCAGATCCAGAACCTGTACTCCTTTTTATTCTCTTTAAATGATTCTATGTGAACTGCAACACACATGTATTTCTATCTACGTGGTGATGTAGACGCTCACAAACGTGCCCAAACACACACTATAACTGGTGGCCATTACTACGCTATCCTGAGAACCGGGCCTTTATTTTTAACCCAAACGTCTGCTCTCTTTTCAATTACCAATAGAACTCTACACACAGGGAGACCAAAATAATTGTATTCTAAAATCGACGTAGCGTGAACAAACCCAGTATTCTTTACCTGGAGGGAATACAGATCAAAGAAGACGCTAAAATAATGGGTTGTAATTACGGAGTTGAAAGGTTCAAAATCAAACATAATGATACAATGTTTGAGTTAGCCAGTAGCAATAGAGCGCAGATGGAGAATTCTGCATTGTGCATTGTTTCAACCTGCATGTGATAGTAGTTGCTTAATCTACACAAAAATACCTGTTCTCTATACCTCTCTTAGAAGGCAAGCTCTCGTTGTTAGAGTTCTCCTGTAATGAAAACGATCAATCACCTTCATCAATGGACACTATATTGGCAAGTTTGTAAGGTTTCATGTGTGAGGGTTTGTTTTTTTACCATAGGTTCCTTTTAAGCAACATTGCTTCCCCGCTCAATTTCTAGGAGTGTAATAACAAAATAATGAGTCTCTTAGGCAATTTGATTTTGTAGTACACTTTTATTTGATTATGCAGCTGAAACAATGCGATCCACACCGGCCCTCGAGTTTGTTGTGTGTTGTGTAAGCTCACAAGATACAATTTCTTGTTCCTGCTGTAATTTACACGGGAAATGTGTAAGGCTGAGACATTCATTGAAGTTATTGAAGCTCTGGGACAGAAATGAAACCAAGCCGGGAAATAGTTATCATGCCTCTTTTCCCTTTCTTGTTATTATTGTCTAATTATTATATTTTGCTCCGAGGCCTGTTGCAGATTTTTCTGTTATAATAAAGAAAATACACTAAAGACATTTTTTCTTTACCGACCGCATGTATCTGTCTGGTTTTAATAACCTGTTGATGTGAGTTTCTTGCCTTTATGTAAATGTAAAAGTTCAGCAAATGTTTCGCCAGGTATTAATAGCTTAATCCGAACCAAAAGAGACAACATTTTGACAGAAATACTCTTTGTCATTTTACAGGCAGATCTTCTGATGACCTAATGGAACCAAATGTACGACAAGTGCTGTTCTGGGTCCTGGTGCTGCACTGTGGTTCTGCTGAGGGCAGCATCCTGTACAGGGTCCAGGAGGAGCAGCCCCCCAACACTCTGATTGGTAGCCTGGCAGCAGACCAGGGCCTACCAGACTCAGGCCATCTCTACAAGCTGGAGGTCGGGGCACCCTACCTACGTGTTGATGGGAAGACGGGGGACATTTTCACCACTGAGATACCCATAGACAGAGAGACCCTGAGGGACTGTCGAACCCTGGTTAAGGGTAAGCCTTGCTACCTTGAATTTGAAGTATCGGTGACAGACCTGATACAAAACCAGAGCCCACGACTGATTGAAGGACGCATTGAGGTACAGGACATAAATGACAACACTCCACAATTTCCCTCTTCTGTCCTCACCATCTCAGTCCCTGAAAACACAATCATGGGGGCGCTATTCTCCATACCTCTGGCTACTGACAGGGACTCAGAGAGGAATGGGGTGGCAGATTATGCTCTGACTGCAGGGCCAGATGCAGCAACCCTGTTTGGCTTACAGGTGGCTGACGACAGGGGGGGGAAGCTCCCGCAGCTTATTGTCCTGGGCAACCTAGATCGTGAGTTAAAGGATTCCTATGACCTCACCATCAAGGCACTGGATGGAGGAAATCCACAGCGCTACAGCAGCGCTCTGCTGCGAGTGGTAGTCACTGATGCCAACGACAACTCTCCCAAGTTTGAAAGGTCCACGTATGAGGCGGAAGTGTCCGAAAACAGTCCACCGGGGCACTCTGTGTTGCAGGTAAGGTTTGGCAGCAAATAAACTTGACTTCAAGAACTTATTTTCTTTCAAATAGGAAATTGAAAATGCAAAGAAAATTGTTTTTGCTGCTTGATGTACTATATTCAGCAACTAAGAGACACAGACTCAAAGAAAGAAACACTCAATAATACATAATGAAATACACAATTTATCAAGTTTTTGAAAAATGAGTCATGTTTCTGCAGTGCTTATTCCTCAGATACAGAACTCTATTGAAAATGTAATTCAAAGATAGATATTTTATTCTGCCATTGTGCTTTAAAATACTTAAAAGTAGCCCTACAACTCTGAATGTTCAAAATGTAACCTCACATGCGGAATTCTTGGGAATCAAAGGTCCAAGCTTAGTTCTTGTCAACTCACAGATAATCATATTCACATTTAACAAATATCTTATTTATAAGTTGTTTCAATCCCATTACTCTTATGTGCATTTTGATATTTGTATAACACAATATACAATTATGTATATACAGGTAATTAAGCTGCATATTGTTTTTTGTGCTATTATACTTACATGGAAATAATTAGAGATACACAATGACTGTACTCAAAGAGTGTATGATTTTTTTCTGCTTACCACTGGGAACTTGTACCAACTGTCATGGAAGAAAAAGCAGCCCTTATATTTTGCCATTTGGTTTAATGTGAATCTTTTCTATTCCCTATTTCTGTAAAAAAGGGAAGGGTGGGGGGGGGGAGACCCATCAAAAGCACAGAGGAAGGGCAATAATAAAACATGCCTAAATAAAGCTGTTCACTTGCTTTGAAGTGATCAGGCACCCGTTGATTAATGTATTCATTCATTCATTGACCAATGATTAGTAGAGAAAATCCTACACTGACTTCCTTTAATTCAACCACACAGCGCTGCACATAAATCACGCCTTTAACCACAGAATTCCTTTCATTTCAGGTCAAAGCAAATGACTCTGACATGGGCTCTAATGGAGAAATTGAGTACACCCTTCACCAAGCAGTAGACCCAGTGTCGACACTCTTACGAATTGACCGGTCCACCGGCATTATCTACGTTAAAGGATCCCTTGACAGGGAAGAAATCAGCAGCTTGTCCTTCTATGTGGTGGCGAGGGATAAGGGTCCACAACCTAAAAGCTCAAAGACATTTGTTACAATTGAGGTGACTGACCAAAATGACAACGCCCCAGTTGTGGAGATTCGTGGAATTGGTCTTGTGACACACAGCGAAGGAGTGGCCAACATTTCAGAGGACATGCCAGTTGGAACCGCTGTTGCTTTAGTGCAAGTGTCTGACAAGGATGAGGGAGAGAACGCTATGGTCACTTGTGTAGTCGCAGGAGATGTGCCGTTCCAGCTTCGCCCTGCCAGCGACTCATCCATTGACAGTAAGAGGAAGTATTTCCTACAGACAACCACTCCCCTCGACTACGAGAGGATTAGGGATTACCGAGTCGAGATTGTCGCTGTTGATTCTGGAAATCCGGCCCTCTCTAGCCAAAATTCTCTGAAGGTGCAGGTGACTGATGTGAACGACAACTCTCCAATATTCTCCCCAACATTGTTTGAGGTAGATTTTGCCGAAGAAAATCAACCAGGGGAGAAGGTTTTGGATGTTATAGCTTCAGATGCTGACAGTGGCACTAATGCTGAACTCCTTTATAGTATTGTGGCAGACTCATCCATCAAAGGTCTGTTTGAGATTGATCCAAATACGGGCACAGTAAGAGCCCGAAGCCCCCTTGATCGTGAGCATAAAGAACGCTACGAGTTCCGGGTCACGGCAGCAGATAAAGGGTTACCTGTTCATAAAGGGACAGCAACTGTTGTAATAAACGTCCTTGATCGCAATGACAATGACCCCAAGTTCATGCTGAGTGGCTACAGCTTTTCAGTTTTGGAGAACATGCCTCCTCTCAGTCCAGTTGGCATGGTGACAGTCCTGGATGTGGACAAAGGGGAGAACGCCCTAATTGATCTGTCTGTAGAGCCTGATGGAGGAAAGTTTGTCGTTCAAAATGGAACAGGCACCATTCTTTCAAGCATCTCGTTTGACAGGGAGAAAGAAAGCAGCTATACTTTCCGTCTTAAAGCAGTGGATGGAGGAGAGCCCCCTCGGTCTTCATATGTGGCCGTCACGATCAATGTACTGGATGAAAATGACAACAACCCTGTGGTTACCAAACCCTCCAATTCCTCCTTCAGGCGTTTGTCACCTCTAGCTTCCCCAGATAGCCACGTTGAGATAGTGGAAGCCGAAGACCTGGATAGTGGGCCCAATGCCGAGCTGGTGTTCAGTATTTCTGGCGGAAACCCTTACCAGTTATTCCGCATTTCACCGTCCAGTGGGGAGATCACTCTAGCAAAAGAAATGACCCGAAAACATGGCGGCCTACATCGCCTAGTAGTGCGAGTGAGTGACAGGGGGAAGCCTGCACGTCATGCCACTGCCCTGGTCCACATTTATGTCAATGACACCATCTCAAATGTCAGCTTAGTGGAGGCTCTAGTAGGACACAGTCTTTACACTCCACTGGAAAGGGACATTGCTGGTGATCCTGACTATGGTTTCGCTGCACAGCGTAGTAACATTTTGTTTGGAAGCCTTGCCGGAGTGGCAGGTGTTGTCATGTTGATCCTGGTGGTGGTATTTATCCGACACCGCATCCAGAGAGAAACTAAGAGTGGGTATCAGGCTGGCAAGAAAGAAACAAAAGACTTATATGCGCCCAAACAAGCACCAAAAAATGCCAAAGGCAAACGAGGAAGGAAAGGAAAGCCCCAAAAGTCCCCCAAACCACTCGGGGAAGATGAAGAAGTCAGCCTTCAAAAGAGTCTCAAGTTCAACCTCGATGGAGTGAATGATAGCCCCAGGATACACCTGCCCTTAACATATTCTCCAGGAAGCCCTGATATAGGCAGGCACTACCGCTCCAACTCCCCCTTACCCTCCATCCAGCTGCAGGCCCAATCCCCTTCGGCCTCACAGAAGCACCAGGCTGTCCAGGACCTTCCTGCCGCCAACACCTTTGTAGGAACCGGAGGAGACGACAACTCTACCGGCTCAGACCAGTACTCAGACTACAGCTACAAGACCAGCCAGATGAAGTACAGCAACAAACAGGTAAGAACATGACTCACACAAGCTGCTGTGTAGGTGTTAGAAAGTGTGTCTTATTGTGTTAGGATTTGAGGAGAGATAATTAACTTTAAGAAATCACAAACATTACTCATCCTGTTGCAAAAATGGTAATACATCTGATAGAATGAACAACTTATACTATATTAAATGTCAAGATCTACTTGAAAAGACAATAACATGATCTCATACATGAAATGTGTTACTGTCCTTTCATCCTAATTAAAAATGTGTTCTCTGCAGAACAGTACATACTGTGTGTCATGGCAGATTAAGGAACACATATACTCCCATTAAAAAAATACACAACTTGTTAAAAATTCATTAAATACTTCCCTTTCGAGTTGGCAGAGAAATGTGGCTATGGTCGCATGGATGACCATAGTATTCTTTAGGGAACATTTTTATTATGATCCAGTTATAGATATAATAATCCATTTGTTCTCTTATATTAAGTGCAGTGAAAGGCTGCCATAATAGTTTTTACTGTTTTTGCTCCAATGTAACATCGCTGGAGGGTGAAATTTGATACACTGGAAAGAGTAAGTTGCCGCACATATTAACTTCAAGTTTGTGGTCAAATGTTGCACTTCTAATACGGAAAACTTTGATGGCCTTCTATATGTTTTTGCATGGGGTTGTCAGTGCTGTTGAGCAGGGATGGTCCATTTCTCAGTAGCTTGCTTCGGCTCTTCTGCCTGACCTCTGGTGCTCTGATCTCAGCGGGTCACTTGCTACACTTATCTCTCTGCTCCTTATGCTCTTATCTCCTCTTATCTGGACAATATTTGGCAAGACCTGAATCGCCATGGAAACAGAAATATTAATAGAGGGGATTACGAGAGAAACAATTGTGGAGTCTAGGGATACAAAGCTATTGTGTCTCTAGGTTTCTGTGTCATCTTCAAGTGTGTGCATGTGTGTCTTGGACTAGACACGTGTACATTTCAATTGGTGTGTGTTTCTCAATGCAGACTGCCGTCATACTATTATCTTTAAATAATAAATATTGTTATTCCATCCGTTTTTTCATATAGCTATACACTATTGACATTTAGCTCCCTTTTCCCCGTAATTACTGTTTTAAACTTCCATTCTACTTAAGAAAATAATCCAGTAGGTAACAAGGAGGTAGTTTAAAACAACTTCAAAGAACACCCAAATCCAAAGACTGCCTACTTCAAAGGCATTCATTCTCAAACAAACATGCTGCATCCACAATCAGTAACCTAATGTGACAGTTGATAGTTCTCGCCACCTCTGAGTGAAAACTGAATTATTTGTGAATCACACAATAATGACAAGCTCTAACAGTGCAATATTCTTGTTGCTACAGGGGCACATTTTATGGAAATACATATTTGACAGTGATGTAAACAATTCATTTTCATCCAAGACAAGTTGACATCGGCTTTCAAGATGCTTTCATATATCAAATCACAGTGTCATGCATACAAAACTGTTTGACATTCTCCTAGGGCTTTGCAGATAAAGTTTGACACATGGAAAAAAATTAGCAAAAATAGAAGTGGAAAATATGCCACCGAGTGCTGAACATGTGTAGGTGACACTTTTTTATTGGAGATATCTTCAGAGCCACTATCACAGTTGGCTACTTGGTGGTTTCAGCAGATGCTTGCTGACAGCTTAGGTGATCACAAGCCTTTGTGGGTGGAGTCAGTTTAGAGAGCAGTCACCACTGTCTCCTTGATGGACAACATAAGGGACCAAAATGAATGCAAGCCACGGGGTTTGTCTGGGTATTTGTGTGTAGTGCCAATCTCTGTTTGTGTGTAGATTCACCGCTCGGTAAAAGACTGTTAATTGTAACTGTGGCACAGATTTACGCTCGCAGCTCTTGACAGTGTTTGTGGTTTCTCAATATGATAACAAATGCGTATGAGACAGATCTCAAGCGATTGACAGGCTGTGTAAAAACATGGACAGATGTTGAAGCTCATGTGACACACCTCAGCAGATGCTGTCTCATGTATGACATCCCCTCTTACATCAGGAAGAACAGATTGACCAAAATATATAATTAAAGTTTCTGCCAAGTGATGTGACAGATGTAGAGTGGTGCCCTTGCTTTAATTAACTGTGCTACACTTGACAATGGCTTTTCATTGGGAATTTGGTCAGGTGTCTGTGTTTCTACTAAACCGCTTCATGTCTAAATGTATCAGCCAGAATGGTTATAGATTATGTTCACATGGAATATAAATAACCTTTCTAGTCAAACTTTTTTGTACTTTACAGTTTAGCTTTGTAACTATCTGCAGCCTTGGCTTTACTCCAACTCCCTAAATAGCAATCCATAAATGTTGTTTAAATATGTTGTACATTATTAAAGATGGGGATGTTTTGCACAATGGGGTACCTACGGGGGGAGGTTAAACTGAAAATAGGTTCAGGGTTAGGGTTGGACATGATTTAAATAGGGCTTAGGTTAAGTTTACGGACTAGTGCAACACACTTCACAAAAAGGACCCTCTTTGCAGGGTTTAGTATTTAAGATCCGGCTTGGTCTGGAGAACCTCTTTTAGCTGGGATATTCCTAAATTGCCTTTGCATTGATTTATATGTTAACACCATTACTGTGATTGGGTGAAAAACTTTGCTTCAAACCAATTACTTGACTAATTTATCATTTTAAAATGTGGCTACTGTTATCGGCTGTCAGCACTCCCGCCCCCCCCCCCTAACACACACCACAATACAGAAAATAGCATTGTTTTAAGTGGGTGGTAAAACATATAAAAAAAGTGTTGAGGAAAAATGGTTAAGTATATTTTTGCTTCTTAGGGCTTGTTAGTATTTGTTTGCTTGTAGAAAATGAAACATTACACCTGCACCAATCCCTTTGCAATGCCTTTTGATTATTTTACTTACATTTAAGTAAACATTTTTTACTTGAAATGTTGTGAGGTACACTCATACCTATATACATATGTATTAATAGCAATAATTAATATTTGTTTTGGGTGCTTTTTGGAGAATGTTGGTTATTTGATCAGGTCAATTTGAAGAGTTCCCTATTGATTGTAAGTTTGTCATGCATGATCTTTTCAAGGTATTGACTCACTCTGCTTTGCTCTTTTTCAGTCTAAAAACATGCAATTAATTCATGAATTCATCGGAGGACCTTATCTTATTAGAAGAACATCCACACCTCTAAATGATAGCCTTGATACCAGACTGGCTGAACAGCAGAACATATAAATATTGTATGATGTATGTCATGAAGAGTGGAGCAGGTGCACCCAAATGCAGGACGCTGCAGGCAACATGAATTTGAAGACATTACTTTGAAATAAAGATTTGGTGAAGGCACGGCACAACTGAACAGCATTGAACACAACCAAAGCAGGTGTTTAGATGGGAAAAGGAGGGAGAATACAGAAAAAGAACAAAAAGTATCATCAAAAAGTCTGAGGAACTATGGATATCAATCCACAATGTGACACTGTCAACTAAAGAATGGTTGGCTAAGAGTGCCAAACCCAAATAGATGTTTCAAATGTCCTATTTATATCCCAACATTATTTGTATAAGTCTGTGTCAGCTATATTTGTTTTGTTTCCTACAGTATGGGCTAATACTGCTATCAATTCAGAAACATTTTGATCGCCCTCCCCCAGAGAGATTTTTCAGCCCTCTAATTGATTTAGATTAACCCACTTTCAAAAATAGTTCTTGAAATGCAGTTTCCTGCGTATAGTGTATTACAACAGCCTCTAAACATAGTTGTGCACGAAAATAAACATTGCCTCACAAGAAATCCGACATAAATCTTTTTCTTCCTAAATTACTTGTTCTAAAAACAAACCAGTCAAATGCCTAGAATAGACACATGCATCCAAAAACAGTAACCACAACTGTAACCAATGGTTTTCATGTACTGTCTGTGTCTAAATCCAATGAAATTCAAAACAAAGGATATATAGTTCTTCAGTGCAGATGGAGTACAATTTCATGATGAGCAGAGAGTAAGACGGCCTGTTTCAGGCTTATTGAAAGACTCCGTTCGCAACCACTAGCAACACTAAATGTTTACAATTCTGAATTTAAGTGGATAAAGCCCACCAACAGCTAGAAAAGAAATACCTGAGCCAGTTTCTCTGTCTGTTAGGAAAAACAATTTATTCTTGGCAAGAAAAAACAACATAACAAGTGCAAATGTACCAACAAACAAACCCAAACTGTTTTTATTCTAGGTTTGAACACACATGATGAGCTCTCTGCATGAATGCTGTAGCTTCCCTGTGCACGAACAAGGATCCTTACAATTGCTTTCACTCTGCTTGCACCTGTTTGGGTAATATTATAATTGAAGTGGGGACATTGGGAATTTTCCTCAGGGTCTTGGCAACTTAAACCACTTTCCTGTATGTCACATACAGGAAAGTGGGGATATTTCAAAGGAATATTCATTAATATGGGAATATATGTTTACATGGATAATGCATGCTTGTGTAGTGTATCAATTCCAGTAGAAATTGCAGGTAATAGTTGTGTTTTAAATGTAATACCATTCATAATAAAATATATACATATGAACAGTATGGTCACACAAACATGCACTAATTTGCTGTTTAAAAAAGTACAATTAACCAACACAGTTTCCACACTGCTGCTTTAAAATCTTACCTAGAAATAGCATGATAAGCTTCACCTTTTATAACAGGACTGCTGAAGGTATTGGCACTCTTTACAGTTTCCCGATTTCATCACCTTTGAATGTGTGATATTGCATGATGGTTGCTAGAGAAACCAGAGCCTCACATAGTCCATTGGAGCTGATAATTAGCTCTTTTGGGTACAAGAGCTGGCACCTTTTTTCACACTTTACTTAATGAGAATCCTGCTATTGAACAACACACAATGCAAGGGGTATGACATGCGGATATTCTTTGTAAACTGGCAATCATGACTTCCTGAAAAGCTGTAAACGCACCCTACACACGGTTAATATACGTTATTTA